AATGTGTTCGACGTYGTGTATGTATATAAATTGAGACAGAAATTAAATTTGTCGTGCGACTGTCGGTCAATAATCTTTTTCGCATTTAGTGTAAACATGTTGGTGAGCGGTTTGTGATCCTTGTGAAACGCCATGCAAAAACGCGGCGTGAAGTTCTCCGTCATACGTGTTGTATCTTTGTTCGGCGGGAGATAACTTTTTCGATAAAATAACCCAGCAGCTACTGACCGCTGACGTTCTCTGTTCGAGGACGGATCCCACGGCGTCGGTAATGAAGCGTAGAGTGGCGCCCGGGCTCAGGTGCTGTATCGGCGAGCGCTCGTTGACAGGCACCGAAACTGGCTTGCACGCGCGGTCGCCGTCCACAGTAGTGCACCGTCCTGTTTGTTGATCTCGGCTGCCATGTCGGGACTTGTAGTTCAGCCGCGTTGGAAATAAAACAATGATAGAAGTTCAGTGAATTAAAAAAGCGTTGACGGCACTTGTATCTTTAATTTGAAAACAAAATTATAGGCTTAAAAATTACAAATCATAAAATGAGATGAAGGCGCGTGGCCCAAACAGCTGCCCCTCCCCCTTTCCCTTCCACCGGCGGTAGTATAACATGAAAATTAAATTACTTTAGCATACAAGATGACAAGATGCATTAATAATAATTATCATTATAAAATGAACATCGAATAAATTATAATATTAATTGTTATAAATAAATAATGAAGGTTGCTTATTGGGGTAGGTATGTAAATTCAATAAGGTTTCCTTAATTTTGATCCTCGGCATCAACAATTTGTTATTACAAGATATTATTACAGTTAAGTGTAAAACTTATATTTCTTTATATTTACTAAATGTATTAGGTTTTTATTTTATAGTTAGATCACAATTTATATCAAAATAAGATAAGAGATGTTTTATTGTATGTTGTAAGGTTTTCAATAAGTTTCTTTGTTTTTATATTCATGCTTGACATGCACAACTATTATAGATACCTACCTACCTAGTTGTTTTATAATCAACGACATCAACAAGTTATGGAAACTAATTAAGTAATAAAATATAGATGGATACTTAATTTTAACGATATTATTCAAATACAATCTCATTAACGAGGGTTTATATTTATTATTGCAATACATTTGWGAGAAATATTTTATTATAGTTAGGCGTGTTACCTGCAGGCTATGGAAAATAATAATTAGCCATTTAACACATATTTTATAGTTTTTATTCAGATATATATAAATAATTTTATAAGTAATAAATTATGAAAAATGTTATCAAGACTGATGCGAAGCAAATCTATAATAGAAAAATCAAGATTTGTAATATTTTAGTGATTAAATGATTTAAACAATAAATCATAAATCATAATAATACAAATAATTTATTATATGTCAATCAACATATTTAATATTTATTTATTTTACTCGATAAATAGCATTATTATTATCTCATACATCATAGAATTTTAAAATTTTTAATAAACAATGTTGTGTGAACACTTTTTTAGCATCAATAAAATAATTACATGGATAAATAAAGAAATAATGAAAATACTGTAGACGTATAAAACGAAAATAAAAAGCAATAGTTTTATTTATTTTTAAAAGAAAATAGTTTGTTTTTGTAAATACATGTATAAACGTAAAAATGACAATAAAAAAAATTGTTTTATTATCATATATGTGGTATGATAATATTGAACCAAACCAAATATTTAAYTGCAGAGATGCAGCCCATTTAGCATAATATATACATATAGTGTAATGCAGCATGGAAGTGTGTGTATTATCTATTATGAAATTTAAATTATTTTTAGAATCTACTAATAGTTTAACTATATATTTTACTTTTTATTTCATTATTAAATACCTACTATTATAGTTGATATTTAGAGTTTCATTTCCAGTAAAGATTGGTTCATTTAGATTATAAGCCACTAGCCAAAATATCTTAAGATAAACTAGCACTAACCGAGCCCTATACTTCCAAGTGTAAAATTATGAAAAATGGCAAAAAATTATAAATTATTCATATATTTAGTAAACAAACATCATACATAAAAAAATAAATTATAGAATATTATTAAGAATATAAAGTAGTTTTTTAAGGATTTCTAATTATCTATTAACCGAAGTAAAATATTTGTGGCATCGAAGCATTGAAACAAATTCTAATATGCTTGCTTTCTCTCTCTCTTCATTTTTAGGTTTGCCATTAAAACACATAATAAAAATTATTTTTAAGTCCACTCTCATTAACATATAAGTAACCTGAAAAAAAA